TGTGAACATCATTTATTCTGACCCAGATTGGGCTATTGAAAACCTTCCTGTTGCACACCGCCTGCTCATCAACTGTCCTAGAAGGTTCTTGGGGGACATGCAGACAAGAATTCACTATATAAGGAAACTCAGGGAGGCCAGCCTGATATGGGGCAGCCTCCTGAATCCCAAGTTCTCACTTAAAGCTGAGAACCAAGACCCAGCCTGGGTACAGGACCCATAAGGACGGCCAGGCTGTGTTGCTTCCCAGCAACCTCAGACCTTCATTCTAAGTCTTGATTCTCAGGCCTCTTCTGTCTCATCTAATGAGGATGCCCCCAGGACAGTGGGGAGTCAGAACTTCCTGCAGCAGGAACACGGTACTAAAGGAATCCAGAGAGGACCGCCCTCCGATGGGGAGTTTCTTTCCCTGTGACAGAGTGTCATGGAGAGACAGACACCTACAATTCCTGCCACGGACTCTGGCATCTGAAATCCACATGTGACAAGGCCCCCTTGCTCACCACTTAAAGGTCGAGGGTCAGTTCTAAAACATGGCTCTTCACAGACTACTGATATTGGTAAGGACAAAGGCTGGCTTTCCCCTCACCAGCGGCCACTCTGTCGGCCTTTGCTGTATCATGTACACAGCTTTCTCCATGAATCAGAGACAGTGACAGAAGACTGCATAGGAACTGTCTGTGTGTGTGTGTGTGTGTGTGTGTGTGTGTGTGTACATGTGGACACTGTGGAGGTCAGAGGTCAACCTGGAGGTCATTCCTCGGGTTACAGCCCACCTTGCTTTTGAGACAAGGTCTGTCTGACTTGGAAGGTGACAATTCAGCAGGCTGCCGGTGAGGCCCGAGAATCTGCGGGTGTCCACCTTCCTGGCTCTGGGATTATAAACCCATGCCATCTCACCTGGATTTCTTACATGGGGTTCTGGGGTGCTCATGCTTACACAAGCTTGTTACCAACTGAGCCATCTCCCCAGCCTGGCAATTTTTAATCTCAGGGAAATTCACAGTGAGCTCTCAAAGCTGTCATTTCTCTGAAGTCTTAGTAGGAAAACAGTGATGTGCAGTGTGACTGATTGCTGGACGCAAAAAACAAAAAACAAAAACAAAAACAACAACTGCTGTTCTGGACGCGTGTGAGGATAAGGCTACCGCTGATTTCTGGAGACTGTCCAAAGGGGAAGAGTCTCTTTGGAGAAGGGTGGGACTTCAGCTAGGTTCCGGGCCAAAGTGGGGTTTCCACCAGGCAGAGGCTGGGGTGCACCTCTTCCACCAGGTGCAGAGGACTGGAAGATGAGTTTACTGAAGGAGAGCGGGCTACAAGTGTGGGACGAGGTGGGAGAGCGTGTAGGGGAGGCTGGTGTCCCCTTTAAAATAGTCCGTCACTTGAACATTCAGGAAGATGAGCCTCAGTCAGCCTGTAGGTGGCCAGGCTGGGGGTAGTGCTGAAGTCTTGAAGGAAACCAGGAACTCTTTAGGAGAGCAGGAATGTGTGTAGAGACGAAAATAAGGAAAAGGAATACAGGGACCTGAGCCCCAGGTAAGGGATTCGCAACCTTCCTGACTGACGCTGCGGCCCTTTAGAATAGTTCCTTGTGTAGTAGTGACCCTCAGCCATAAAATCATTCTCGCTGCTAGCTCATAACTGTAATTTTTGCTACTGTTATGAATCGTAATGTAAGTATCTGATATGGAGGGTATCTTACATGAGACTCCTGTGAAAGGGTCACTCTACCCCCCCCCAAAGGGTTGAGAACCACTGCCCTGGCGGTCCTGAGAAAGATTCTCTGCTCAGAACAAGAAGACTAAGCAGTAAGCTGGTGCTTCCCAGGAAGGCAGGGTAAACAGTTCGTAGTAAGTGATTCACAAAGTCTTGTGTACCACAGGCAAGACAGAAGTGGTCACTGGGACTGGAAGTTGGAAAAGGAACGAAAGTACTTCCCCACAGCGCACACACTCACACACACCTCAGTGAGTGAGGCACCGGCCCCACACAGACTCCGTGAGAACAGAGCCAGGTTTCAGGGAGGAGAGCGGGTTGAAACCAGGAAGCAGGTGATGTCAGTCCTGGAACCAGAAGCGTGTCTATGTCTACAAGTGCGGTTCTGGTTCCACAATGAATGAGAAGACCACATTCTTCTTCAACCTGACCCTGCAGAAGCCGTCTGGGATCCTTCCCATCAACTGAAGACAACATTTTGTCATGCAGGAGGGTGCAAGTTTGTTCTTCAAAGAAATGGACTAGAGAGAGATGTATTAAAAAATAATAGAACACATCATTTCATCTTTGAAAATATGATAGGAGCTGGAGAGATGGCTCCGTGGTTAAGAGCCCAGGCTGCTCTTGCAGAGGACATGGGTTCAATTCCCCACCTCTACATGGAAGCTTACAACAGCCTGTAACCTAGTTCCAGGGACCCTGACACTCTCTCTGTAGACACCAGGCACACACATACATGATGCACATACATACACAAAGGCAAAACACCCATACACATAAAATAAAAATAAATATTTTTATATTAAAAAAATAGCCAGGCATTGGTGGCACACGCCTTTAATCCCAGCACTCAGGAGGCAGAGGCAGGCTGATCTCTGAGTTTGAGGCCAAGCCTGGTCTACAGAGCATGTTCCAGGACAACCTCCAAAGCAATACAGAGAAACCCTGTCTCGAAAAACCAATCAATAAATAAATAATAAAAATAAAGACACAAATACTTCTGAATTTCACACTCTCTTTACAAGTATTCCTACTGCTGAGGAAACTGCCATTAATGTTATTGTGAGCTTTTCCAAATCAGGGGACAGGCCTGTCTTCCACAGACAGCCCTACTTTCAACTCTACTCCCATTGCATAGCATTTGGGAAATGCCACATTAGTGACAGAATGCTTCTTCAGTGCCACAGCAGGACCATCTGCCAACAGTGGCTCTCCAGCAGTCACACAAATGTATCTATTAATTAGACGACTGTTAGAGTTTCCAGGAGCGCCAATGTCGATGAAAGCCTTACCTCTGGGCTCCGTTATCAACAGTTGGGTCCTATAAAAGCCACCATCTTTCTGCTTTAGAAATGTAAGGTCCCAACTTACTCTTTCCTATTGCACAGTCACTACTATATTTTGGCTATAGTGACTCAGCATCTCCCTTAGTTACTAAAAGTTGAACATTGCTGGTCCATGGAAAGTTATAGATATATGCATAAATTTGTCGATGTAGAGGTCTGGAAAATGGATCGGTGGGTAATGGCCTACTGCACAGGCATGGATAACTGAGTTTAGATTCCCGACACCTATGAAAAAGCCAGAATGGCAGCATGCTCCTATAACCCTAGCGATGGGCAGAGGATGGACAAGGGACTGATTGGCTAGCCTAATCTAGACAAAATGGCAGACACTCTCAGAGACAATGTCCCAACTGTAAGATAAAATAGAGAAAGAGGCCTAACTGTGCCCCCATAAGCACACCTGAGCACACATACATATCACACACACAGCACGTGCATGCATGCCCACACAAAGTTATAGATGTAGTGGCTTCTGCGGTTCAAACCACTGATGATGTGGATGGCGTTTTATTTGTTAAAAAGTGACAAATGAGGGTTCAGAAGTTTCAGGATCATGTCCCAGATCTGATTCCCTGCTAGATAAGCGTTCCTCATGAGGACCCCTGGCTTGTCTGTAGGAGGCATGGGCACGCTGGGGCTCCGCATCAGAAGGCACATTTCAGCATAGGGCGCTGACAACTGTGTGACGAGGTACTTGAAAATACTCAACAGAGTATGTGGCACATATAAAGGCACTAAGTGTGACTTGCCAAGCTCACATTTTAACCTCAGAACATGTGTAGAGTTCGTGACAATGCCAAGAATGACAGCTGGTGTCCCCAAGGACAATGTTTACACCAAGGCGCTGAAGTCTTTCCTCTCGAACTTTGTCCCATCGGGTGACAACACAGATGTGGAATTAAGACGAAAACCCTTGGAAAGCGGAGAGGAGAGAAGCTTTCTCCAGAGCAGCAGTGGCCTCGACACAGGAGAACCCCAAGAACGATCTGACGGGGGGTGCAGCTCAGAAGCAGAGTGGGTTCTCAAGGGCAGGTTTCAATCTCCAGCACCGAAACAGGACAACCAACTTAAACAACTGGAATTCTGCAGAGCTGAACAACAAATTATGGGTCACATGTTCAAAGCCACCGTCCGGAGGTGTGATGTCAGCCAGCGGCCACCAGGACATGATTTGATCTCAAAGAGAGAGGAGGACAAGCTGTAGGCCACTCTTACATGCAACACAATTTGCAGCATTTACATTTCCACCATTTATTTCTTTCTGTTAAACTTTCCAGAGATGCCCAGATAATGACAAACGTGTGACCCCTTCACTCCCCTTTTCAAAATCCTAAAGATGAACATAGCTACACCAGCATGACTGCCTCTTAGTGTATTTCACAACAAACTTAGAGCTGTGGTTCTCTACAGGAGAAATAAAGATAATTCTCAGTGGGCAGTTCCCCTCATCCCAAGGAGACTGAAGTGGCTTTTGACAGCGTTCATTTTTCAAAGAGGGAAAGCCATCTCCTTGGTCTGCTCGGTTTTACAGCAGCATCCTGAACTCAGACGTGCCAATTAACGTCTGGTGGACACGGAGGATGGTGGGTGAAAGGGAAGAGGCACCCAAACAGGATAGGCAAACCAGAGAGGGGGTGAGATGACCACTTTTGAAAATAAAACGATGTTTACACACAGAATAACAAAACTTCTCATCCGCACACACCGCCTTTGACATTCATTAATCAAAGCCTTCTCCTGTGTTCATGATGTCATGTTTTCCACCCCTAGCAGGTTGTAGAAATTTTTACTTTAAAATGGGGCAGGAGTGGGGGCTGGAAAGAACCATCGCTGCCCTAAAAGGAATGAGGAACTGAGAGCCGTGCAGTGTCTGGCTGGCTCTGTCTGTGACAGCCCATAATGTTCCTTCCGGCCCCAGTAACATTCTGAGTTTCCACCTGCCCGCCCCCCCACATATAACACCCAGCACATGAGGTTGAGGGCTCCAGTGTCGTGTCTCTGTGGGTGGACTCCTAGGGTCAGAGTACCATGCTGTGTCTCCTGTGTTCCGTAGCTCACTGGGGGTAAAAGAACACTGGCTGAAGACCCTCCCGGGGTAAGTACTGGAGAGAAAACAGGACAGAACATAAACTGCCCTGAGATTTTATGTCACTGGGAAAGAAAAAAACTCTGCCGAGAAACATGTGTCTGTCTTAGGAGGACTCTGAATGCCGACTGCTCGGCGGCTGGGCCGTGTGACAGCTGCAATTTGGGGGTTCAGGAATTCTGTAAATGTTAGATTTAGTTTCTGTATACTGTAACTAGTATCCTAGAAATAAATTTCTTTCCTACTTGGGTTGAATGAGAGTGTGTAAGGCATTTAATATAGGATTGTATGAACAGTCAAAAAAAAAAAAGAAAGTGTTAGTTCCTACGATTGTATCAGATTCTCGTGACAGGGTGTAATAATGGACAACAAAGTTTCGAAGTTGTTAAGACATCTGGCTTAAGGAATGTAGGAGCAAGTTTCTCAGATGTTCTTCTTAATAATAGGTGACATTGAGTAAGAAAGAACGTTTCTTATTTCAGGCAAACGTAGGAATTTTTATTCCTTGTGGATAAAATAAATGCAAATGAAAAGTTGGGTGGGATTCTCATGCCGCCTCTTACTGGGAGGCTGGTTTTAAATGAAAACTTCTCTGTCCAGGGGCTTTAAGCTGGGGGGCGGGAGAGGGAGGGAGTTGGCAGTCTGACTCTGGAATTTGACTGGTTATTCTTCTACTTTGTAACTCTTTTCCTTTACGATTTATTGTAGACAGAATCAAAGCCTCACACTGGTGTTATCCCCCTTGGGCTGTCAGCCCCAACTCCAATGAAGCTGATAAGCAGTCTCCATGTACGTGAGCCCCTCGAGGATGCCTTATTCATCCCTCTTGCCCACAGACAAGAGCCCAAGGACCTTCCCTAATGTTATTTTTTCTCTCTCTTTTAGTCAAAAACACTTAATGCCGGCAACATGGAGACATTAATTGAATGTCAGTCAGAGGTAAGAGAATACTGTTTTCAACTTTTTACTGCACTGTAAGAAGATGGAAGATGTTCCTTTTGTTGAATGCCTGGGTTGTGTATCGGCATAAAGTGAACGTCGGAGTATAAGGGAAACACGTGTACAAAGGTCTTCTGCAATCGTGTTGACCTGGGAAGAGTGCAGAATTGATTCAATTGACTTAATTTTTAAGGTGAATGAAAGGCTGTCTGTGTGTCTCTTGGGTACCTATTTTAACTTAAATATGCTTTCAGGGTGATATCAAGGCTCTTCCGCTGCTGACATCATGTGAGAGTGAAGACAGCATTTGCCAGCTAATTGGTGAGTTTTGAAAACATACTGATCTTTTCTGCCAGCCTAACTCGCGCTCTGGGTTTGCAAAACCGCAGGGCTTTTACTTTACTAGGAATTTGTTTTCTAAGTGTTCCAAGAGACCACAGAACATTAACCCTTGACTAGAGCAGCAGGTACTGTAGGAGGGGAGACTGTCTGCAGGGTGCCCAACTCCAAAGGGGGTCTCCAACCAGGCTGGCAACTCCCAGACCTTGTAAACCTTGAAAGTGTGCACACATTGGAGAAACACACACTGCTCTCTTCACATCTCTTCCTTCTTGAGTGGAGACCGCATCTTAGAGTTCATGAGGCAATTGTCACTGATCTCAGGCATCCTGTCTGATTCTCTTTCGAACCATATCTTATTACGACGAGAGTCAGCTCTGGTCACACCTCCCAAAGCATGAGGGTGGACCTCATTGTTCTCGTCTGTCTTCCACTTGCCAGTGCAAACTGTGTAAAAACACTGGACAGTTGTTTAGGAAATGTTGCCTCTAATATTAGAAGGAGAAAAAAGAAAAGATTAAAGGGGGACGATTGAGTTCTGGCACACATGCACACAAGTTTTCTGGTTGACAGCGGGTGGGATACCAGGGAATGTGCCAAGCCTGGGTGGCCACCTTTCTGGAGAACCATGTATTATATAGTAGCTTCTGAAACTCACAGTCTGTAAGATTCCCTGGGTGATGTAGCCCCCTCTAGTGGTAGCTAAGTGCTAAGAAGGAGGTGACCAGCCAGCCCTGCGCAGAACCTTCCAGAGGCTCTTGAGCAAGACACTTCCTCTCTTTGTAACTTTCATTTTCAAGGAAATAAATTTAAATAGCTCCCATTAATTAGGAATATTCTTTGTAGTTATTAGGAAGACTACACTAAAATGGGTGGTTTTGACCCACACAGTTAATTCTGCTAGTTTTCTGTAGCTAATAGTTGTGAAGGTTAAAAACAGGAAAGGTGGGGCATTTGAGGAACCCTGGTGTTGATGTTTAGAGCCTGGCTGCCCTGGAAACAGTGTGGCTGTTTTGGGGTTGATTTTTCTAGAACAAGGGTTATGCCCTTGGTCTTCTCAAGTTTCCAACAGTTTAGTTCTTTTTTTTTTTTCAACGTGGCATGCTGTAGACAGATGGTGTGGCCAACACAATCTGTGTTCTAGTATGGATCTTGGCTTATTATTAATATTGGTTTTTTCTCTTAATCTCCTTGTTTCCTTGGCTACAGAAGTTAAGAAGAGAAAGAAAGTACTGTCCTGGCCCTCTCTCATGAGAAAGCTCTCCCCTTCATCTGACTTCTCTGGATCGTTGGAACCAGAGCTCAAAGTGTCACTGTTTGATCAACCCTTGTCAATCATTTGTGGGGAAAATGACACACTCCCCAGACCCATCCAGGTAGGTGGCTATTGACTCATAAACCTGAAAAGTCTTTGGGAACACTAATGGAACTCTCCACACCTGAAGCCTCCCCCTGCTTTCCAGTGAGACAGGGAAGCCATTGGCCCACTGATATCCACCAATGTGCTCTGACTTGTGGGTTGGAGGTGGCAAGAACATTTGTAATTTCTAAAAACTCTGCCAAAATGGAGTAGAGGGTGTTTGTAGGAAAGCTGGTGTTTCTGTGAGAAGTTCTGAGAGGAGAGAGGGGACCCAAAATAGTTTTCAAGTGTGCAAAATTAGTGCTTCACAATTCTGTTCCTCTGGAAAAAGTGAATAAAGAGCATCTTTGGTAGCACTGCCTTTGGTAGCTTGGGAAGGCTCTCTCGTAATTAGAGCCGATGGATAGGTTTCCATGCATTAACAGCAATGTGTACGTCTCCGAGTGACTGTTTTCTGCTGTTGTGTCTGCTCCCACAGGACATCCTCACCATTCTCTGCCTTAAAGGCCCCTCAACTGAAGGAATATTCAGGAAAGCTGCCAGTGAGAAAGCCCGCAAGGAGCTGAAGGAGGAACTTAACTGTGGGAGCCCGGTGAATCTGAACCAGCTCCCGGTGCATCTCCTGGCTGTGGTCTTCAAGGTGAGCCTGCTGCATCTGTGTCAGATGGCCTGTTGGGGGCGCACTGACAAACTCATCAGGAAACCAGGATCTGGCACTGCTCCCTGCCAGGCAGAGCCAGCTGATCTGGGAGTTTGGCCTTTCCTCAGTTAAATTGTGTAGTTATTCATATAAGTACCTCTGTTTCAACAGAAAGGGTAGCATGTAATTCTCCCAAACGTTATTTGATTGCCCATGGCCAAGTGCATTCATAAACCTGGTCTCCCCGGATGCACCAACCTATGGACAGGGCATCTTATTACATAGGCTACTGGGAGGTTCCTGAGTTCAGTGCGGAAGAGGTTGCCTAAAGAAAGCCAATGCAGGGATGTGGTGGTGAACGGGGGGGGGGAGGGGGGAGGGCGCAGGGATGTGATGGTGAATGGGTGGGAGGGGGAGGGGGACGTTGTGCCTGGCAGAGATGGGACACAAGGAGGAAGGACTCACTGCATGGCATAAACAAGCAAACACACGCCCTTTCTCCCTCCAGGACTTCCTCCGAGGAATCCCTCTGAAACTGCTGTCCTGTGACCTCTTTGAGGAATGGATGGACGCCCTGAAGAAGCCAAGCGAGGAGGACAGGATCGAGGCCCTAAAGCAGTAAGTCCTCCTTCATAAACCTGTGCCAGTGTTTTGGGATTCCTGCCTCACAGAAACTGAGGTACAGAGAACCGGGGTGGGATTGCTCATCGGCTCCCATCACAGCAGCCAGAGGAGCCCTGGCTACCCAAACGAGAGGAAGAACTTCTGAAGAAGCAGAAAGTAAACTTCCTTACTCACAGACCTGGAGACAGGAGAGAGCCTAAACACAGGAGTAGTCTTTAAAGGCACAGAATAAACTCAGACATGTGAATGCTTTACCACAGGCTAGCCAGTGAAGCTGGAGTTATCCTTAACTTCATTAACTGGAGTCCCGCCAGTCGCTGTTCTCGCGTAAACCCTCATGGCACAGCTGAGCAATTTGGAAGGGATTGTTTTGTTTATAAAACTGCACAGTAAACTCTAAATTCTTATGCTTAACAAAAAGAAAAGAAAGAGAAAAGAACAAAGTCCAGCAGTGAGCAGAAATTGATATTTATTATTTATTTATTATTATTATTTAAATTATATTTTAAAATGAAAGTGTGACTTCTGCATAACTAGAGTCCCAAATGCCTTCCATTAACATGTCAGAACCTTCTCCACATCCTAAGAAAGCCTACCAATATGCAACAGCTGTCCCATGCAGCCAAATATTTTCCACGAAATATTTACCAAAAGGAGGCTAGTTTCTGTCCACCCTTTCCCCCAGAATTCTAAGATTATCACAGTAAGTTTCTACTTGGGCATAAAACTCGTTCATGAAAATAGCACTAAGAGATGCAAAGGAGCCATGTGTTGGATACACTTCATTTTCTGAAGTACCAAAATGTAAAAAAAAAAATCTTATTTTGCTATCACTAGAACAGTGTTTGTGTTTAAGTACTGCCTGCCTCTAGCTATAAACATGCTTTCATAGACTGATTGTATCTAAAGATTTCTCAGAATGACATAAAAATTACAGTCCTAAGAAGGGTAAGACAACCAGTCTCACGGGGCTCCAAACAGAAAGAATTCTGTCACGGCCATTTGATGGGGCGACAAAATTGCTTTCGACATGCAGGGCAGACTGTGGGGGTTACACAGGAGGTGCTTCCCAGTCAGCACCCGTGTGTGTGATAAAGACAGGTCCCAGTTACCACGCACGACCTTGTGGCTTACTGGCCCAGATCCACGTCAGCGGCTGCTGCAGGAGCCTAAAAGAGCGTTTCTTTTGGAAACGCACCTTCCTCACTGTGGAGGAAGTCCGGTTTGGGTAGAACCCCCTGAGAGCCAGGGGGAAAGCCACATGAAAGCCATCATCCCTCAACCTCTTCCAGGGTTGCAGACCGCCTCCCCAGGCCCAACCTTCTGCTGCTGAGACACCTGGTCTATGTGCTCCACCTCATCAGCAAGAATGCCGAGGTCAGCAAGATGGACTCCAGCAACCTAGCCATCTGCATCGGGCCCAACATGCTCACTCTGAAGAATGACCAGAGCCTGTCCTTCCAAGTCCAGAAGGACCTGAACAGTAAGGTATGACCTGCCTCTGTGTGAGAAAGCCCCGGGGCACGAGCCCACCCTCCGTAACAGCCAAGCAAGTACTGAAATGCTGAGTTTCTCAAAGTGACTCAGGGGCCGCAGAGGAAGTCTCTACTGCAGGATGTGCTTCTTGTGGTTCCACTCTCTTAGATACACGTATTTGCTGAAGCGTGAAACATATGCATCCTCTGTTGTCCTGGGAGACAGGCCAGAGTAGCAGACATTAACAGCAGTCACTCCCTGGCTAGAAAAACACTTTGTTCTTTTTCTTCTGTGTGTCATGTTCTGCCTGCTCAACTAGAAATCTGGACAACTGCTTTCTGAAATGAAAATTTCAGTTATTTCAAAGTAATTTTCCTTTAACCTGAAACAAAAAAAAGCGTGCCTCAAAAGAAACCCTTAAAATAATAAAGTGAATTATTGCCACCAATCCCAATGTGCTTTTCAGGCACATAAAAGTATCTAATTCTATTTCTGCCACTTCCCTAGGAGTTGGCCCTGATACATCCTCATTCTTTTCTGCCTTCTTTTCTAAGAATGTACTTAAGCTGACAAACTGCTAACGTTTCCCTCGCAGGTTAAGACATTGGTGGAATTCCTCATTGACAACTGCTTTGAAATATTTGGGGAGAACATTCCCACACATTCCCGCATCACTTCTGACGACTCCCTGGAACACACTGACAGTTCAGGTACGTACGGAACATTCTGTCACTTGATTGTGGTTCTGGGGAGAAGGGCGTGCTGGCCCTCAATGCTCCGTGCAGTGATGTAAAACATCCCTGGTATTAGAAGCAGGGTGTGCCTTCACAAATCAAAAGTCTAAGTAAGTCGTTAACCACGGAGGCCTCGCTCTCAGATTTACCTGCCACACCTCATGCTGCACGATTTGTCCATCTGTAATTTTCTCCTTCCTATTCTAAGACACAAATAATTCATGATTCTACCTTCTAAACTTTAGCTGCGGGGCTTGAGAAAGCAAGTCCCAGCTCTGAAATGGAATGTGAGCCCATTAAAATGGAAATTGGTCGAATACGAGAGCTACTCAAAGGATCGTTTTAAACAGAAACAAAGATTTATTGCAATCGGTTTATTGTCAGATTAGGCCCCTATGCTCTTCCACCAAAATCACCATAGGTGTAAACAGGGTGGCCTGTACTAAGCACTGCTGCTAAAAGAGCTTGGACAGAATGCTGAACTCTGCCTTAACTCTTCCCAGATGTGTCCACTCTGCAGAACGACTCCGCGTATGACAGCAATGACCCGGATGTGGAGCCCCCAGGCGCCATCACTTCTCCCAGCAGGCAGCTGGAGGAGCCCACTGCCACAGTGGCTGACCCGGATAACCGGGGCTCGGAGGACTCCTGTGAGTCAAACTCGGAACTCGCTGTTAGCTTGGTAGCCAGGTTGAAAAGCTCCATTGGCCAGCCAGACAGGCGGTTCTCTGAACCCAACACGTCACCCTCACAAGAGTGCCGTACGGCCCAAACGACGAAACAAAAGCTAACCAGGAGCGAGGATAGCTTCGCCATGCCCCGGGAAGCCTGTTTTGAGGGTGACGGGGCTGAAGACCCGTTTTCAGAGGAAGTCTTCCCAGCAGTTGAAGACAAGCCCCAGAGACCGGCGGATTTAAAGATAAAGAACTTGACCCAAGGTTTAGCATCGCCACAGGGATGGGTACCCAAAGCTTTGTCCAGAGTCTCCCCAGGTAAATCTTTGGACAGCTCACCCATACCTTCTCCTTCCTGTCCCAAAAGAAGCTTCTTCACCAGACACCAGAGTTTCACCACAAAGACAGACAAGATCAAACCCCAGAGAGAAATTAGAAAGCACTCCATGTCGTTTTCCTTTACCTCTCACAAAAAAGTGCTGCCCCGAACCTCCAGCACTGGGTCTGAGAAATCCACAGACTTTTCTAGAGACCAGATCAAGAAGGGTTTGAGGAAAGACAGCCAGCTTGCTGGCAGGATCATCCAGGAAAATGAGTCAGAAAGCCAAAGCTACAGCTTGTCTGGAACCTGGGCCCTCTCGGTTGACAATGTGTTCCAGCTAATTGATGTGAGGAAGCCAGGAAGCCCACCATCCTACGCAGAGGCCATTCATTACCAGACATCTGGACTCACAGCCTACAGTGGCCAGACGGTTAGCAGTATGAGAGCAAGAATGCTCAAATGGAACACGGCTCTGCCTCCTCTGCCTTCTCGCCTTGGAGGTGACCACTGTGAAGGGACACCCGGTGGACACACACCGTCTCCCATGACTGAGCGCTGGGAACAGAGTCAGACTGCCAGCCTCTCTGTGGAAACGCAGGGGAGATCTGAGCTGCACCGATTGAGAACGGTGTCTGAAACCATGCAGAAGGCTACGTTAGACTGTCTCAGGAGACAGCACAGACGCATGGTCTTTGAGGTCGGCCAACTCCAGTGTGCTAAAGAATCCTACATTTAGGGAAGGAGACCTTGTACCATGGCTTACTTATGTGAATATATGACCGGACAGAGAGCTGCCTGTTGAATCTACTTTCCAAAGAGTCATGAATAAGCTCATTGAGTGTTGTGTAGAGCTCTCCTCTGTGAGGATGGCTTACACAGCGACACACCACATTGTGTGTGTGTCTGGGTTTGTGCAATATGTAGTAAATGTATAAAATGTACTGTAGAAAGGTGTTAGATGAAAAGGGTGTCTACATGCATCCTTGCATGCATGCATCTGTGTATTTCTATATATTGCTGTTTTTTGTTCCCAGGTGCATGGTTCTATTGATTAGAAAAAAAATTCTTAACTTTTCTTAGTTACCTCAAATATCTTGCCAATGGTCACATTTTCCAAGAGCTGTGTGTAGGTGGAAATGTCTGAACCTCCGATATGTTTGTTCTCCTAAACTGGCTTGTGACTACTAACGAGCATCGTAGAAGAGAGTAGACTGACAGGCACTGTGTTCCGAGTGTGAGCAGCCAGGAGAAGGTCTTTCTGTCATCGAATGGAAAGTGGGTGGAGTGGCGGAAATGCGTTATGTCACTATTAACTCAGGCAGAGCACTTTGAACCTCTGGGTTGGGTGGTGTCTTGTGCGGCAGTGTAGAAGTACATGGTGTGGTGTGCATTGGGGGTCGTGTATAAAGTTCAGTGAGGTTTCACTACAATAAACTGCCCTCCTCTTTTACAGTGTGATTCTTTGCTGGTGTGATCTCCTTCCCCTCAGCTAGTAGGGACCCATCAAGGACATTATGCACACGCTGGTCCGTTCAGACAGTATCTATTCTCTATATTCTCATTGTCCCTGTGGAGCTCGTGTCCAGGGGATGCAGGCTCTGTTCTCTGGAGATTTGAGACACTTTTAGCAAGCCATCACTCAGGGGACAGAAAAAACTTTAAGACACGGGGTAATCTGGCAAATGTAATGCTATCCATCTGTAGTAAATTAGACTTTCCAGTGTCTTTCCATATCTCACTTTTGTGATGCTCAGTTTCCTTTATTATTAGCAATCATAAGGATAAATATTTGTGATCTTAGAATTTACTACTCAATAACCAAGTTCTTTATCCAAATGTTTTAGAGTACTGGGCTCCAATTTTCCTAATTATGTCCACTTTATGACACTGTGTACATTCCTGATTTTTAGTGTTTAGATAACATGCAAAAAAGACCCGATTCTTCCCCAGAGGTGGTTTACTGAGAATTTGGTTAGCCATGTTGTAAACTGGGTTGTTCAAGCAACATCAAAACTAACATTTAAAATGCTCTATTAAGCTGGACAGTGGTGGCACACACCTTTAATCCCAGAACTTAGGAGGCAGAGGCAGGCAGATATCTGAGTTGTAGGCCAAACTGGTCCACAGAATGAGTTCCAGGACAGCTAGAACTACATAGACAAACCCTATCTCAAACAAACGAAAAGAGCTCATAAGGGCCTGGAGAGATGGCTCAGCAGCCAAGGGCACTTGCTGCTCTTGAAGAGGACCCAGGTTCAGTTCCCAGCACCCATGTGGCTCCTCACAACCATCTTTGACTCCGGCTCCCTGTTCTGGCCTCCAGGAAGGCACACAGTGAACATGTAGACAAAACATAATATATTAAACAAAACCTTTTTTAATGTTCTGTTTTTAAGCACTGATAATTTGATATCAAAGGGCAGACCACCCACCTCACTGGTAAGTGAACAAAAGTAACCCCTTCTCAGAACTGAAAACTAACAGAGGTATGGCTTAACTTTAATACCTACCACATGCCAGGCACTATGCCAAGTCTTTCAGTGTTAGGATAGGGTTATCTTCCACCAGGTTCTTAGTGAGACAGATACTAGATACACAGGTAGGTAGGTAGATTTTATACACACACACACACACACACACACACATACACACACACACACACACACACACACACACACACACACACGTATAATTTATTTGAGACAGGATTTCCCTGTTGCCCGGGCAGTAACAGAATGTGAAACCTTACTGCCTTAGCCTGCTGAGCACTGGGGTTACAGGCACAGGTACCACAATGGCTCTCAGGGACCTGCTCATGAGAATCGGAGCATTGCCTCCAGGGGCTAACCGAGATGAGAAGTCTGGAAGTTTTAAATGCATTCCCACTTCACTAGTGACTCAACCTCCATGTGAGCCTTCCTCAGGTCCTGAAAACACGCCTCAAATATCCATCTATGTACTTAAGACAGGGATTCTCTGAGCAGCCTGGAGCTCTCTGTGTACACCTAGCTGACATCAAGCTCCCAGCAACCTCCTGCTTCTGCTTCCCAGGTGCTGGGTTAAAGACACGGGCGTGCTATCATGCCCGGCTAACTGCCTGTATTTGTCAAAGTAACAATGAGACTGGAAGCCCTGTGTTCGTCGTCAGATACCTGTGGCTCCTGGGGGGAAGCACCTGCCATTCTCGTGGGTGTCTTTGACTAAGGAGAAGACACAATGACTGTTTCAGATGTTTCACCTCATGGAATCACTTGTTTCCACGTGGCCTGCTGATGCTTCCAATTTGGATTTCTTAATTCCATTTCCAAGTGTGTTCATTTGTGGAGGCTGCTCCAAGAGAGCTATAGCTGGAAGAGGGTGCCTAAACAGCAGAAATGCATTGTCTATGGTCCTGGAGACTGGAACTCGGAGACCAAGGTACACAAGGTTCGCCCCATGCTCCTCTCTGACACAGATAACCAGCCTTGTGTTTCTTCCTGAGAAACTTTCTCTCCTCCTATAAAGAGGGGACAGCAGGGAGGGTGACACACAATATACCGTAATTATTTCCAAAGACACATTCTGTCCCCAAGCCCAGGACTTAAGCAAACTAAATCTTCCCTAGATATGTTGGCTTAGGGAAATTTATCAACATTGGGCACTTTTGCTAGAGACAAAAACAATTGCTTAAAATTTATACCCAATAAACATGGCATAATGGAGGGTCCTACAGGGGGTGACTCAGCAGCTGGGTTTGCAACATTAATATTACCAAGCCATGGCTAATGGTCACAGTGCCTCCCAGTGCTGGGGATGGGGATGTCCAATGCTGTCTCTATTAATGCACATTTAAAAGAACAATTAGATAAATGCCCGATTGTGATCCCACTGGGAGAGCTGCCAATGTACGCTTTCTTTCTAGATGGTCAACCATGCAGGAAGCCACATCAGACAGAATCTCAAATCGCTGAAGAGTCTTCACTAACTGAATTATGTGATTTTAACTCTTCATTTGACAAAGGAGAACTACCAAGGAGGGCAAAATGTACACAGTTCGCTAGAGATGAAAATGAATCACTTTTGGCAACATCTTGCATGTAAACTGAGACATTATGTTTTGTCCACTACAGAATACAGTTTAACACGGGGACCAGAGAGATGACCCAGTTCATAAAAGTGCTTGTCGCATACACATGAGGACCTGAGTTCAGATCTAGCACTAATACGAAAAGCTGGGTGTGGTTATATGTGCCTGTGGCCAAGATCTGCAGGGAGTGGAAACAGGAGGACACAGGGTTGTTTCGGTTTGTTTTCTGGGTTTTTGTTGCTCACTAGAACACAATAAACTGATCTAAATACCTTTTTTTGCAGGAAGGGGGTTGGAGACAGGGTTTCCTGGAACTCGCTCTTGTAGACCAGGCTGGTCTCGAACTCACAAAGATCTGCCTGCCTCTGCCTCCCGAGTGCTGGGATTAAAGGCGTGCGTCACCACCGCCCGGCTCTGGGTGGTATTTTGATGTCAGCGTTGGGGCAAAGCCCTGGAATTTGGATAGCAAAGGTCAATTCTCAGATTCACTTCCTCTTAGCTACTTCCTCTCCTTTGTTTCCATCTTCTGCACACACCACCGTGGTCTAATTTGAAGGAAGAGCAATGTGGAGTGAGAGCTAAATCTACTCCTAGCTGTTCACTATGGAGACAGCATTGTAATAACTGCTTAGGCACCTGTACATCCTTGGTCGTTTATCCAGATAGTAAACAATTTTACTCTTCCATTGGCTTATTTTTTGATCAAATTTGTTGCAGTCTGACAATATAATAAACCTCATCTATTCAGAATGCATGGTGTAGTTACTTTTATCTTGCATAGATATTTATGCGAACACTGTCACAATCAAACATGGAGTACAGTGTTATCACTAAACTCTTGGCCCTGCCTGCTTGATTTGGTTTGTTTGGTTGGCTAGTTTACTCTAGTTAGCCGCTGTAGTGGGGGATATACTAGTATCCCAGTGTGGTTCATCTGAATTTTCCATTGACTAGGCAATGAGGGGCATCTCTTCACGTTTGTTGTCTATTTGGGAATTATCCAAAATTTCCTTAAATTCATCTTTTCTATAAGTAACAAACTGTAGCAGTTATATATTCTGAAACTTTACGTATTCTACAAATTTTTGAGGTCATAAGGTTTTGTCCCAATATGCAGTTTATTTATTTATTTATTCATGTCACTGTGGTGGGTGGGCTTTGGGATTTCAGAAGCCCACACCATTCTCAGTTAGCTCTCTTTCTCTACCTTGTGCTTGTGGCTTGGACTTAAGCTCTCAGCCACTCTCAGCTCCGATGCCATGCCTCCTGCCTGCCTGCCTGCTGCCATGCTAGTCTGGAACTGTGAGTCCCAAATTAAATGTTTCTATGTCGCCTGGGCCATGCAACATATCACAGCAATAAAAAAGTAAACCACATTGCCTGGGCCATGCACCATATCATAGCAATAAAAAAGTAAACCACATTGCCTGGGCCATGCAACATATCATAGCAATAAAAAAGTAAACCACAGCCGGGCGGTGGTGGCGCACGCCTTTAATCCCAGGACTCAGGAGGCAAAGGCAGGCAGATCTCTGTGAGTTTGAGGCCGGGCTGGACCGATAGCCTCCAAAACAATACAGAGAAACCCTGTCTTGTAAAAAAAAAAAAAAGTAAACCACATTGCCTGCATCTTGCTTCAGTACCTTACACCAAAAACTGAGGCCCGAGGGTGTATTCAATTAAGTAACATTTGCCTAGCATGAGCAGGGTTCAGTCCCCAGCAGCCCTTACACCGCAAACAATTGACTTTACAGCCCTCCTTAGGGACTGTATTCTCTTTCTTTGGTCTATATAACTTTCCTGCTTGTACTCCACTGTGTTGATGCTGGAACTTCACAGGAATTCCTGAAACTATGTCCCAACCTTCTCCCTCTCTCTAACTATTCCAAGTCCTTTTATCCTTACATATTTTCAGTTGTTTGCCAATGTCTAGGAAGGTTCTCTTGTTTTGAGACAAGGTGTCCTGTAGCCCAGGCTGGTACAGAAGTCATGATAGCCAAGGATGACTCTGCACATCTGGTCCTGTCTTTATCTCCAAAGTATGGTGTCACAAGCCCTGTACCACCACAACCCTATGGCACTCTGCCAACTGAGCTGCATCCGCAGTATAACATCTAGAAACTTTGATTGGAGTTTAATGGAATTTATCTATCAATTGGGAGAGTTGGTGTCTCAAAATTGCTGAGTCTTCCATTCCATGAAAATACTATGTCTTCCAACTCATATAGGCCCTTTAAAAAAAATGGTTTTGGGAACTGAACCTAAGGTCTCAGGCATGTGAGACAACTGATCTAACAATGAACCATACTGCAGCCCTTATTTAGCTATTCTGAAGTTTCAGCAATTTTCTGTGGTTTTCCATGTTCAGCAAACATTTACTCACCAAGCTACC